AAGTGAGACAAAAAGTGCTGGATATGCCAGACAGAGTGACTCAAGCCTGTAATCCTAGCACTTTGGGAGGCTGAGGTGGGCGGATCACTTGAGCCCAGGAGTTGGAAACCAGCCGTGGCAAGATGGTGAGATCTTGTCTCAAAACAAAACAAAACACAACAAAATTGGATGACGTTCTTTAGAAATAAATAAAGAATAATTCATTCAGAGAAAAAAATCTGTTTTGAAGTAAAATTGGGATACCTGAGAAGTATAATATTGCATTTAAAAGTAAGCATGATTATTGGATCCATGAAAGAGAGTAGGTTTAAAAAAATTAATTCTCAGATAGTTCATTCATTTATCAGAATACTGTGTTCACCATGGGACCTTGAAGCAATAGTATTACATATGAAAATCTTGGAGACTTGACAGGATAGGAAATGCAATAATGAAATCCATGGATTTTGGCCTAATGAAAGCAAAAAATTAGAGGCAATGGAAGCTTAAAGCGTAAGCAGGTAGGGGTATCAAGAAGGATGAATCCAGAAACTGAAGGATGCTATGCCTTGAAAAGCATTTGAAGGGAAATTCACTTTGTAGCACATTGCTACCAGACTTCAGTATTCTCTAGCTCCGTGAAAGCTTATAAACACCTGTGTAAACAGAGCACTCTCTCATCCACACTGTGGCCTTGCTAACCTACCTATAAAGCAGTGCTGCATTCACCAAACTTTTCTTAGTGTACCCAATTTCTTTACCTAAAGTTCTTAGCCCCATCAGATAATTTTTTATTGAAATATGACTGTTCAATATCATAATTTTGAGAGCCCAAAGAAAAGGCTTTCAGAAAAAAACTCAATTTCTTAGCAAAATAAAATCTTAATCATTAAAATGTCTGTACGTGGAAACATTTTTCCCCTGACATGTAACATTAATGAGAGTTACAAATCCTATTAAACAAATGTTGTTAACAGATTCTGCAGAAACTATCCAAAAACACTTCAGGTCAATCTGTTGGGGTGGGAAAGGAGGGTGCATGTTGGGGTAGAGAAATACTGAGGGGGAAAGAGTATTTTTAGTCTGAAGAATTGTATCTGATGACCTACTTTAACCACTTAAGTAGTGAGTAATTTTGGGGAAAACGTTTCAACTCTTTAAATCTCAGGTTTCTGTTTTTGTTATTTCCTAATTTGAAAAATAAGGATAGTGCAGTAGTGCAGTGGCAAATGTTTAACCACTGACTCTGTAAGGGACAAAAATCCCAGTTTAGTAGCATTTGTTGATTTCCACAGTGTAAATATTCCCACAGCAACTATCTACATGACATCATTGAATGAGCACTACTATAAAAGCCAGCACCAGCACTCCATGGGGAATATGACAGTTAAATGGAAATATATATATACAAGCACTTTATACAGTTACACTATACAAATGTTACATGAGGCATTTTCTTATATAACATCTTTTAATGGTACTAGTCAATAAAATTAATATCTTTCTGTGACACACACAAACTCCTAAATTTTTAGAGAAAAAAATAAATTGTATTATATATATTATAGGTAGGAAATTAGATGTTTTAACAAGATGTTGCACAGAAATAAATCTTGGCTGCCCCCCTAAATGATCAGAACACCCAATTACACTTAATCTAATAAATTCAGGTTATGTGGTGTTGTTTCTGTCATTAGTTAGAAAGAGATAACTTATTTCAGGAAGAAAACATTTAATTAAAAATTGCTTGTGTAGCTAGCAAGAGATCCCCAAAATATTATACATGAAGCAAAACCTGTGAGAATTAAGGGGAGACATAAGACAGTTTCAACAATAATAGTTGGGGACTTTAATTTCCACTTTCAACAACATTATTGAACAACTAGACAGAAGACCAGCAAGAAATAGAAGGCTTGAATAACACTATAAATCAACTATACCTAACAGACACCTGTAAAACACACCATCCCAACAAACAGTAGAATGCACAGCATTCTCAAACACACACAGAAAATTATCTCCCAGATAGACCATACATTAGACCACAAAACAAATCACAATATGTTTTAAAAGATTAAAATTATACAAACTATGTTCTCTGACTACAATGGAATAAAATCTGAAATAGCAGAAGGAAAACTGGAAAACTCACAAATATATAGAAATTAAACAGTACTTCTAAATAAACAATGAGACAAAGGAGAAACCACAAGACATTAGAAAATACTTTGAGGTGAACATAAATGAGAACACAACATATCAAGATTTATGGGATGAGGTAAGCATAGTGGCTCAAGCCTATAATCCCAGCACTTTGGAGGCTGAGGCAGGAAGATTGCTTGAGCCCAGAAGTTTGAGACCAGCTTAGACAATAGAGTGAGACCCTTCCCTACAGACAAGTTTGAAAAATTAGCTGAGTGTGGTGGCATGTACCTGTAGTCTTAGCTACTCAGGAGGCTGAGGCAGGAGGATGACTTTAGCCCAGAGAGGTAGAGGCTGCAGTGAGTTATGATTGCACCACTGGCACTCTAGCCTTCGTGACAGAGTGAGACCCTATCTCAAAAAATAACAAACAAATAAACAAAGACGTATGAGGTGCAGCGAAAGCAGTGCTCAGAGGGAAATTTATAGCTGCAAATGCCTGCATTTAAAAAAAGAAAAAGATCTCAAATCAGTAAAGTGAAATTCCACATTAAGAAACTATAGAAACAAAAAATAAAAACAAAACAAACCCAAAGCAAGCAGGAAAAAAAAGATTAAAG